AAGAGTATTAGTGAGTGGCTGAAAGGTAATTCTTCAGTTGAAAACGTCCATTGAATGAAAACGTACTCAGGAGTACATCAAAACACGCTCCGCAAATAGTTCATAGAAAAAGCGGGTGAATTAGGTAGCCATGTCAGCAATTGCAGGCAGAGGTAGGCGTGTGTAAATGGGCCGACGTTCGTAACTTAAAGGCAGGCGATACGAAAAATTGATTTTCTGCTGGGAATGAAAGTAGAGCTACCAAGAGGTAACCAGTGAGGAAGATATTAAAGGAAATGGCGCAAAATGTAATACTTGTTTTCCGTTCAGATTTCTGCTTACAGGAGCCACATGGGCGCTGACGTCTTCAACGTGAACGCTCTGCTCTGACTCTCTTCTGAAAAGGCTCGAGTCCGACGGCAAAGGACAGCGGCAGCACGCGTAGTCAATCGGTAGGTGGGCAGAGGGACGAAAGGATTTCAACGCATGGATAAAACCTTGCTGCGTCACTGTGTGCGCCTCTTTCGCTGTAAGTGCGCCATGTATCGGTCCTTATAGGGAATAGCCTCTATGAATATTGACCGCCTTCCTTAACATCTGATTTAGGGTACCAACTGTCTTTAGAGGTGATGCAAAGGCGCTACGGATCACGACTTGCATCCGTGTGCACTGTTCGTGCTTACTGTGAACGCTCACCGCCGCGGATGCGCCTATGCTGCGTCTCCCTCGTCCCAATGCTCTCTTGTCTGGGAAGCCTATTCTTTCGTCCAAAACTGGAAAATGGAACTGACAACCGTGGGGATCAAGCAATAGGGCTTCACCAACCGGCGGAGAGCACTGGGTCGCATTGCGGTGTGATCGGCCCTGTGTCGATGAGTGAGTGCATTGAGTGAAGAGCTACGCTACCTAGCCTCCGGTCTACGATACGGTTCAGTGCCATCTATCATTAATGGCAACATAGGCACTTTCCAGCTCTCAACCTCCCTTTAGGGACTGCAGCTTACGGCCTCGTCTTCTTTTTGCAGTCACTACCGTCTTTTCAGGTTCCGATTTGGGCCATCCATGTCACGAGCCCATCGAGCCCTCTTCGAAACGTTACTATGTACCAGCGAGTAGAATACGGGCGCATAGCCCATTGAAACCTGTGGCCATGAGTGGCACTGATTGTAGTCCCGATGCTTGTGCTAAGAACAATCCTTTTGATGAATGACGTCCAAATTTGTAGTGTAAATAGCAGAACACGGCAGAACTCCACACGTCATTCTCGACACGCAGGACAGCAATGCGGGCTATGACTCTCACAGTCCGGGTTGTAGTCGGCAATGACGTATGGAAGTAAAGTTTTTAGGCGCAGATCTTTGAGCGTACTGTTCGGTACGACAATTCTGACGTGTTCTTTGAGAGCAAAAACATCGAAACTGTCAAGGATTATTAGAAGTTCCACAAATAGCCGAATATTTGAAGCTATTTAGTCATAAAACTCCCGAATACACAGAACAGAAGGCCCACCGCACGGCGAGAAGGCAGAGACGCAGAGGGTCAGCGAAGAGTCGCAGCGCGTGCAGCGTGTGATGTGGGGCTTACTGTGGTACATTCCATTCAACTTGAGGGAAATCACTGCAGTACGCGCTGCGAATCCACTGACCCGCCTGCGTCTCTGCCTTATCGCCGTGGCCTCTAGTCGGGTACCTAGAACTTTCCTTTACGGAGGGCCATAGTTCAGACTGGCGATTTCGGATGAGTTACGTGTTGATCTCACCCTTCTCGTTGCTAAATTTGGCGATTTTGACTTCGCAACAAAGAAGGCTCTTCATTAACAAGCGGTGGCAAGTTTGGGATTGAAGTCGAAGGTATGGCGCGATTCGAGGGTACCATTTAAAGTCGATCGCTTCATTAATCATGCTCATTGGAATGACTAAAGAGCTTGTAGTCGTAGAATGGAACCAGTCACTGGGCCTCAAAAATTGTTATGGGGGGGGGGTTCGATACTAAATCTCCGGGACACTCTACGCATCGGGTGACCTCGCGAGAAAGTGCGTCGCACCTGCTAGTCCCTGCTCTATAAGGACAAAGAATTCGGCGTTGACGTCCGTTTTGGGATGCGCCATGTATTTACTTCCATTCAGCATCGTAGTGAGAATTTGAAAGCGAGTTGGCCCATACAGCGACTTGCGGGGGACAGCCGATGTACATATTAGCGTTGTAATCCTCCCGTTGATTGGTCTGCAACCAATCAGCCGACTCCTGGAAGGCTTGGTGGCCCGTATGACGCAATATCCGAGATCTGATCCCCGGATCGAGAGCGTGGTAAACAGTTCACAACACGGCTTCTCCACCTGTACCGACATGTGTTAGATTGGCTATCTGATCGCTCCAGACTGTCAATGATAGTAAAACAGCTGTCCCTTTTGGGGACATCGCTCGTTCCTTGTGCTGGTGAATAACTGGGAAGCAAAAACGGACGGAAACTTCCGCACTTATCGATTACTCATTAATGAATTCATTTCCTAATTGTTCCAATGACGTTGCTTTTTTCAGATGTTCGATTCGCGCTACAAACTCAGAAAGAGCGGAAAGCGGCCAAACCAACGTTTCAAAGCAAGGTACTGTATAAGAGTTCTAGCTCTGTCCTAGGTGCTACAATTTCCCGACTCTTTCCAGGTATACAATTGCCTCGAACGGCCAGCTGGTTGGCGATGTTTCATGTATCATTTCAGGTCCGTTATTTTTCAACTTTCGACCGATTTTCTCTCAGAAATTTCTCGTTTTCAGTGTTTTTGTAGTAGTTTTGGTATGTTTGATACTCAGTGTTCTCTCAACGGTTGAGCAACACAGCAGATTTGCTGGTGAACTGCTTTTTTTATTGGTAAGTCTCTCTGGAAGATTTCCGAGATTTCTCTAGAATATTATTCTATGTTTTCTTCAAAGTAATTTTTTTTCAGGAAATTTTTCTTGTAATATTTTTCGCTATTGAATATTTGTGTACGGTTATGGGCAGCCGGGTGCCGTTCGAAATATCTCGGTTTCTGGGGTCGACTTCGATTCGCTAAGAAACCCATCTCATTCATTGGTAAGCCAAAATTAGACTTTTTGCTCTGCAATTTCGCATTTTACCCCACATGACTTGAATTTTTGAGGGATATTTCTCGAAAA